AGGAGAAGGAGTGGGGAGGGCAAGGAAGAGGATATCCTCCTCCCCCTCCTCGCAAAAAGCGATCCCCTGTCATCTCTACGAGTGCGTTTCGACCAGAGTTTCGCAGGGAATCCAACCGTGGCGAGGAGAAGCCACCTGAAGGCTCCGGAGAACAAACAAACAAATCAAAGGCTCTGATCCTCGACCGCCGAACCTAACGACCCTCCGCCTCTCCCCTCCTGGCCGCTGGCGCTGGCTGCACCCGATTTTTTATTGGGGCCCCAACACTTCTCAAGCTTCGGGGCTCCTTCAAAGAAGACGTGTTTCGCCCCCCTACGGCTCTTGTCCCTAGTGCGAAGTGTGAAGCGATGATTGACATGGTCGTGCAGCGAGGGCAAGAAACAGCGAAACAAACAATAACATAAACATAACAGATCAGAGATCTGCGCGGATTCCTCGGATCGGCGCTGGCTGACGCGTTGGAGCCACCCTGGCGGCGCCTCCAGCGCCGCCCCTGACGCACTCCGCGCGCCAGGGAGGGGGTTTCAGCGCCGATCCGAGAAATCGGTGCGGACCTCAGATTTTGAATGTTTATGTGTCATTGCCTGTGACCCTAAGCAGACAGATGACGCTCCGCCGCCGACCCCCAGCCTGGCCTGCGCGTCAATCGGCGTCCCACTCTGGGTCCGAGCGCAGCGGCCCTGGGCCGGGGCCATCCCCGGGCGGGAAGGCCGCGAGGATGTCTGCCGCGCTGGGGCCCTCGAACTCGTCCTCGGGGGCGCCAGGGGGCTGGGCGGGAAAGGGACCCAGACATGCTCGCGTCGTGAACAAAGATCTGAACGGGAGGTTTTTTGCCGCTTTGGGGCTCGGGGGGCCCTGACGGGGCCCAGGGACCGTCAAAAACAGGACTCAGGATAGGCAACCTGCCCCAGGAAAGAAAGGAGGATCGGGACTTCCAAGGACCTCTCACTGAACAAACATAGGGCATCTCATGTCTGGGGAGGCTGCCGTGCGAGCGGAAAACCGACTCGGGTGCCCTGGCGCACACCCACAGCTGAAGCCGAAGCCAAAGCTGAAGTGCACAGAGAAATGGAAAGGGCCCACCCTGCAGGTTTGGTGGACAGTACATCGTTGAGCGGTGCTGCAGCCTCCCCTGAGAGCAGACCCCCCCTCCAAGGCAACAGCCAGACAAGTCGGGTTTGCACCCTCATGCCCTGCTGGACTCTGGGCGAATTTCGGCACTGCCACTACCGCTGCCGCGCCCTCGTCAGGGCCACCGACTAGGGTGACGGCGACAGCGACACTGGCGGTGGCCGACGCGTCCAAGTCTGGCGGCGTGCAAGACCAGACCGCGAGGAGTTCGATATCCTCGAAGCCGAACGGGGGAGCAAGGGGGCAGCAGGGGGTGGTGGAGGATCGGACCTCTAGGATCGAAGGTTTGGGGGCGTTCTTTTCTGAACGGCGATGCTGGAATGATTCTGAACTGTGCGAAGAGGACAGTACCCTGCCCGTGCCCGTGCCCGCTTGCCTTGCAATGCGGAATCCAGAATGCAGAAGATGCGCCGTGCAGCAATGCAGTGCCCGCATGCCCTGACGTGCCGTGCCGCCGTGCCAGGCCCAAGAGCGAAAATGCGACACAATACCGTGCCGTGCCTGGGTTCGACCCTGCGAAGGATGTGCCGTGCCGTGCCCGCGTGCCGTGCCGCGCCGAGGTTCTAGAATGCGGACAATGTGCCGCGTGCCGTGCCATAAGCTCTAGCCCTCGGAACAAGTGCCGTGCCCTGCCGTGCAAGCGAGCCGTGCCGTGCAGCACCGTGCCGCGTCTGGGCTGCAGAGAGCTGCAAAGGAACGACAGCAGCGCTCAGGTGTTGCCCCCCCCGCCCTTCCCGTCCCGCCCCCCCCCCACACGCGCGTGCCCCCCCCCCCCCCCTCTCCTCACGCGCGTGCCCGAGTGCCACACCGTGCCGCGTCTAGGCTCCAGAATGCGACAGAGGAACGACAACAGCGCTCGGGTTTTGCCCCCCCCCCCCCCCCCTCCCCCCCCCCCCCCCCAGTTTTGCCCCCCCCACCCCCACCCTCGGGTCGGGCGAAAGGGGGGGATAGCAAAGGGGGGGTTTGAGAATCAGCTCACGTAGCTGATTTTCCCGGCGCCTCCCGGCGCCGGAGGCGCCCATGTATCGAGGAATGGGCCCCTCGGTGAGGCCGAAACCAGCTGCATGCAGCAAATTTCGTAACCCCCCCTTTCCCAATCCCCCCCTTTCGCCCGGCCCGACACCCCCACACGCGCGCTTCCCTCCCCCCCCCGAAAAGCAGAAAAAACAGCTTCGACCATCGGTGCTCCTCCTTTTCTGGGGGGGACGGTGCCCCGCGAGCCGTCCCGCGGTCGCTGCGTCGCGCGGACCCCCCCCGCCCGTGCGGTGTTCCCCTCTGCGGGTGGGCCGCACGGTCGAGTCCGGGGCAGAAGACCCCCCCCCCCCCCCCGTCCCCTCCCCCCCCCCCTCCCCTCCCCTTCCCCCCCCCCCCTCCCTCATTCCTCCCTGCCCCCTCCCCCCCCCGTCCCCCTCTCCCCCCCCCTCCCCTCCCCTCCCCCCCTCCCGCGGCCCCGCGATGTGGGCGCCGTTCTTCGACCTGCCCTGCGAGCGGGAGCCCGGCACGGCCACGGCCGCCGCCGCCACGGAGGGACCCACCAGGTTCAGTTAGGGATCTCCCCTCGAGCAGGAGCCCTGAGCAAGCCTAGATCGCTCCACATATGTGGTCTGACTCGGGCTGCTCCTTCTCCTGAAATTCGAGCTTGATCGTACTATTGCGCGGCTGCCCCGAGAGATGGGCAGACATTCAAATGGGGCATGTAAGCATATTGCTTGTTCGCTCGTGGGGAATCTGGGTAAACAGACGCCCGCAAAGATAGCAAGTCGGACCGTCAGGAAGCGATAGATAAACCGCTGGAGATAGATATCGTCAGATGTATGGAAGATTGGGAGCGGCCCAGCCAGGAAATCGGTTCCGGCTTCGATTCGCATCGCGCGTGCATACGGGCACGGCAAAACTGCTAGTGCGGGCGATGGGAGATTGCTGGCCACAGCCAGGGGAAACTTTAGCGATTCTGCCGTTTCTCCAGAGGGGCAGTGGCGGGCGAACTCTACCGTGAGATTGTTTCGAGGTTGAACAGGAGCAGGAACAGGAGCGGCAGCCTACAGAGGCAGACAGCGCACATGAGGCTAGAACAAAGTACTGGAGAGCCACAGGCAGCAGGGGCAGCTTACGCGATCAACGCTTCCCCCCGTCTCAGACGCGGACTCCCGACGGCTCGTTGGCATCCGCTCTGAGCACGGGTTCAAATTCAGCAGCCGTTTCCTCAGGTTTTCTTCCGAGGTTGGGTCGTAGGACCGATGGGCAGGCAGGTTGAAAGCCAGGGGGCGGTGCAACCCGACACATCAGACACCCATGTCGGTTCAAACGGCGCGCGCAGGCGAGGCGAAGCCCCCCGTGCAGCAGAGCACGTCTCGGTCGCTCTGGAGCTCCCACCCTCTGCACATATGCCCGCCACGTTCCCCCCCTCCCCAGTGTCTCTCCGCTGCCCTGTGGCTGTGGCGCGGCTGTGCTTTTTATCGTGGCCGGCCGCGGTCGCCCACTGCAGCCCCGCCGTTTGCCCGATTCGTGTTCGATGGTGTCCCGTTTGATGTCCCGAGGGTGCTCCGATTGCCTTGTGATGGTGTCCCGATGGGGCCCCGAATTTGTTCCCGATCGCGTCCCGATAGGGTCCAGATTCATGTCCGAATGGTGTCCCGATGGTGTCCCGAATTCATGGCCTGTTGTGTCCCGATGGTTCCTCGACCAATTTTCCATGGTGCCCCGAATGTGTATCGATTTGTGTTCGAAGGTGTGCCGAGCCGGTCACCAATGACTTTCGATGGTGCATCGGCTGACTTTGAGCAGGGAGGAGGAAGGGGAACTCGGAGGGGCTCCGCCTCTTTCTCAACACGCTTGGAGCTCCACGCGCAGGGCTCCACACACGTGGTGCTCTGGAGCGAATGCAATCGCAAGCAGAAACCTGCACCCATCCCCTGCTTCACCGCCGGATTCCTGGATAGATCACGACGCATTTATGTCGACGGCTGCTCTCGGCGCGGGGCAAATTTGGAGGCCGCCTGCATGCGCGCTGTCGCCGATTCTGTCTCGCTCGAGCCTGGGCGCGCCCCGCGAGCGCTGGGGCCAGATCGCCGATCAGCGGGCGGGCCCCGCCGCTCTGACACCGCGAACACGGCCCCCCGAAGCCGCGGGGGGGGGGGGGCCCTCCAGCTTGAAACCTGGGCTGGGCCGCCCCCGCGATCCGGCGGGTCGCCGCGCTGCGCACCCCTCGGCTACACACAGGAGCCACCCTGGGCAAGAGCGGCCTCTGGTGCGCGACTTTCGGGGGGCCGCGGAGAGGCCGAGCGGGAGCGCGCAAGCCGCTGCTGTCGTATCGCACAGAGCCATCTGGGGGCCCCACTGTGCCCGCACCAAAGGTCACTCTGGCGAAAGGTCACACGTCACGCATAGTCGAACTCACTCCACGGCGATGCGCGCTCTGTGGCAGGGGAAACCGAAAGGTACTGGTGCGGCTACTCCCGGGACCTCTCGCGGGGCGCGCTCCGACCTGAACTTCGAGGCGAACCCAGCGGTGGCGACGAGGGCCTCCCGGGAGGCCGCAAAAGAGGACGCGAGGGGAAGGGTAGCAGGCTGGGTACCATTCCGCCCTCCGAGCCCTGGGCCGGGACGCGCTCGGCGCTCCCCGAAGGGCGGACCCCCGTTGGGCAGAGGCAGCCCGACCTCTGGGCGCGAGTCGGCTATACGCAACAGTGACCCTGGGTAAGAGTGACCTTTGGTGCGCGGCTTTTTGGGGGCCGCGGGGGGGACCAAACCTGGGCGCGCAAGCAGCTGCTACTGTTTCGTTGTCAGCCATCTGGGGACCAACTTGTGCCCGCACCAACGGTCACTCCTGCGAAAGGTCACTCTTACGTCTAGTCGAGCGAGGCTGCGGCTCACACCACCAGCGCGGCCCGGGCGGCCCGCGCCCGCGGCGCCCAGGCCTCCAGGAGCACCGGCTGCGGCTCGCCCTCGGCGGCGACCACCTCGGCGGCCACCGACTCGCCTGCGCCGGCGCCGCTGGTGAGCTGGAGGGCGTAGGCCCCGGCGTGGCTGACGCGGTCCCCGCTGTCGGCGAAGAGGGCGAGAGTCTCGGCCCCGACCGCGAACTCCACGGCGGCGCTCTCGCCCGCCCGCAGCGACACGCGGCGGAAGCCGAAGAGCTGCCGGCGCAGCAGGGCCGCGCGGCTGCCCCGCGGAGCGGCGCCGCGGGGCGAGAAGAAGGCCATGACCACCTCGTCGCCCTCCCGGTCGCCGGTGTTGGTCACCTCCACGCGTATCGTCGTCTGCCCGCCCCTCTGCGGGATGTCGACCTTCGCTGCGGAGAGGAGCCGCAGGGCGAAGGTCGTGTAGGAGAGCCCGTGGCCGAAGGGCCAGAGCGGCTCCCCCGTGAAGTAGCGGTACGTGCGCCCGGGCCCCTTCGTCATGTCGAAGTCCAGCATGTCAAACTGCTTCTCGAAGTCCTCGTCGTAAACGGTCACGGGCAGCTTGCCCCAGCGGTTGGTGATGCCCAGAAGTGCCCGCGCGAGCGCTCGGCCCCCGTAGAAGCCAGGGTACCACGCCTCCACGATGGCGTCCGCGTGCTCCTTGACGTGGCTCATCGCCACCGCGCCGCCATTCAGCAGCACCACCGTGACCCGCTTGCCGGCCGCCCGGACTGCGTCGAACAGTGCCACCTGGCCCGCCGGCAGAGCGATGGACTTCCTGTCGGTGCCCTCCGCCTCGATGCTGGACGTGTCCAGGCCGAGGGCCAGCACCACGTGGTCTGCCTGCTTGGCGACCTGCACCGCACCGTCGAACAGGCTCCTGTCCTCGGACGTCACGCTGGGCAACCCTGGTGCAGAGAGGACGGTCGTGAGATTGCCGAGCGCCTCGGCGATCGACTGGACGCAGCCGTACTGCTCGCCGCCCTTGGCCGTGAGCTCGGGACAGGTCTGCCCCAGGTAGTTCCCGAGGAGCCCGTACCGCGCGCCGGCGTGCGGGCCGATGACCGCCACGACGCCGCCAGAGATCGGCAGGGTTCGGTTGCGGTTCTGGAGCAGCACGAAGCCCTGCTCGGCTGCATCCAGGGCCGCCCGCACGTGCTCCTCGCTGCGGACGACGTTCGGGGCGAAATGCTCGTAGGCCTGGGCAGCGGGCGGATCGAAGAGTCCGAGGCGGAACCTCAAGGACAGCGTTCGTTTCAACGCCGCATCCAGGGCAGCCTCGCTCAACTTACCTGACCGCACGAGCTCAGGGATCATCGTAATGTATTCCCCTCTGACCGCCCAAGGGCCGTGCCTGCCCCACCCTGCTGACTGAACGTCGGTCCCTGCCTGAACGGCTGCCGCGACTGCGTCTTCCATGGACGCGACATACCAGTGCGAGCGGTAGATGTCCTCCACGGCTCCAGAGTCTCCTGTGACATAGCCCTGGAACCCCCATTCCTCCCTCAGCTTCTGCCCCAGCAACCACTTGTTGGCGCAGCTTGGCACGCCGTTCACCGCGTTGTACGAGCACATCACGCCGAGTGCACCCCCCTCCACGACGCTGCTGCGGAATGCCGGGAAATAGCTAGATGCCAAGTCGTACGCGGAGATGTTGGGGTCGATCGTGTGGCGGGTGCACGACCCGCCTGGGCACAGGCCCTTCCCTGGGAAGCGCGCTGGCCCTCCAGGGCCAGGCCAGGCGCCCTCCAGCGAGTTCGCCACGAAGTGCTTCAGCGTCACCACGGCCTGCAAGTACCGCGGGTCCTCACCCTGCTGCAGCCCCTGCGTGACCGCCACTCCGAAGCGCCCGAGCAGGAAGGGGTCCTCCCCCGGGGTCTCCAGGTTGCGGCCCCAGCGCGGGTCCCTGACGATGTTGACGTTGGGGCTCCAGCAGTCGAGCCCCACGGGTGGCAGCTCCTCGCGAGCGACGAACGTGCCCATATCCACGCACTCGCGGTCTGGCTTCCGAGGCGCGCTCCCATGAATCCGCGATCTCATGGATACGTTCCGTGCGAGCCGTCCGCGCAACGCCGCCCCGTGTCCATGGGGCCGCGGCCGCGGAATCTGGAGCGCGAGCCCGTGGATCTGGACGTCCCCCGCCCCCGAGCTCCGTGGGCGGGTGATTCTCCCCGACCCCCTGCCGCCACAAGCTGCGCAGCTCGCGCCCGATCACGCGCCCCATGCCGTGCCAGACCGTCTCGTTGAAGGCGGCGCCCAGGAAGTTGGGGTTCGGGAAGGGGGTCGGGCAGCGCCCGCCGCTGCCGCAGCGCGACTCCACCCCGTGGATGCAGTTCGCGCCCCAGTCGTACTGCGGCACCCCCAGGCGGCTGATGTTGCCCCGGGGGCTGAAGCGCGCCTCCATCAGCTGCGGCTTCTCGTCGAGGCTCAGCCGCGAGACGAGGTCGTCCACGCGCCGCGCGAGCGGCAAGCTCGCGTCGCAAAAGGGGAACTGGCGGTGGCCCTCCGTGCACGCGTACCGGAACGGCAGCGGGGTCGCCGCGCGCAGGGGCACCGCCACGGCCGCAGCCAGCAGCGCCGACAGTACCCTGCGAGATGCCATGCTGTTCGACTGTGGGGCACCGCCCGCCTCCGAGCTCAGCCGAGCACCGAGCACGTGAACTTTGAGCCAGACAGATCGTTAGACATGGCAGTCGAGCTGCACCGCCATCTAGATCGCCAGACACTTTGGTCGTCAACGGCAGTTCGTTGGGACAAAATTCGCCATGTTTGTAGCGAGGTCGTCCGGAGCGGCGACCGTTAGCTAAGTCGTCATTCTCGTAACAGCCAAATGCAGTGGTCGTCGTGGCTGCCTGGTGCAATTGTCCCGTTGATGTCCTGCAGTTGCTTTGTGGTTCAGCAGCGCGATCACTTGGGCCTTTGGATGGATAGTCATATACATCTCCAGATATGGGGTCAAAGCAATACCTCGATCACCGGATGGGTCCTGTATCGGATCGCTGAAAACGAGACCGCTGAAACGTCGCTCGGTGAATACACGCGGCTGCCCCATACGGCTGTGACGCCGTTGTCATGTGGTTGTCCTGTGCGGTTGCCCATAAATGCCCTGTGAATTAGACCGATCCTTTGATACGCGATTTGGTCATTCGCACGGTCGTGAAAAGGTCTTCGAGCTGGACAATGCACGCCACTCAGCGCGAATCCACCGCAAATCAACAACTGCATCCTTGCCTCGAAATCTCGGCAGGCGAAAGACACAACCCGATGCAAGTGGCGTCTGGAGAGGCCATGCGAACGCGCCCACAAAGACAGCAGGCGGAACTCCTTATAGAGCGCGACCCGCGTGAGGGGTGCTCCGAATAAGCGGGGCAACGCCGTACGAACGCGCCCACCAGGGCCGTCTATGGGTCACGAAAGGCGTGAGGAGTGCAACGAACTGGGCAAGCCATGCCATGCAAAAGCACCCGCTGGAGCCGTAGGTGGAACAACATATTGGCCATTTGGCAACGGTCAGGGATTCGCGGAATCAGGCGGGGCAGCGCCATGCTGGTGTCGTAAGAGCTCCGCATGGGGCACGACACGAGAGAGGAGTGCGCCGAATTGTGCGGGGCAGCGCCACGTGAACGCACCCAGGTGGGCCGTAGGTGGAGCTCTCAGATCGCACGACACGTGAGAGGAGAGCGCCGAACTCTCTGGGGCAGCGCCACGCCGAACGCGGTTGAGCCCTCTCTGGGGGCACGAAACTTATGAGGTGTGAGCCGACACGGGCACCCCGACGGAGAGCTGAGGCAGAGAGGAGGAGGAAGAATGGGAGGAGGAAGTGAAGCGAGGTTGGGCAAAGCGGACTCAGCAGGAGGACCCAATTAACAATGCAAGGGTTGGGGAAAAACATCACCCAACACATTCTCGTACGGAGAGGATATCGTTATCTATGCCGCTCTTGTCATGGTAGCCGCCCTTGGCCTGATGAACGCTTGAAACTGGACGAGCTTTGGAAATAACATGCGCTACGTGTTGCTGAATAGATACCTGCACGACCTCCGACCAACGGGCCCCGGACGAGGGCAAAACACACGGCACTGACCAGGTTAACAAAGCTGACTGATCCAGTGGGAACTGAAGGGCCCATCATCACAACCCCCGTCAAACTTTATAAATACGCGGGGGCCCCGGTCTCGCTGTAGCGACGTCGTCGTCGTCGCTGCTGTCCTCCTCCACCTCCTTTCTCCGCGTGGGCCTTACTGGAACCCCCTGAGACTATACATCCCTAGTAGAACCTCATCCGCCTTCTCCTTCTCCTCCTCCTCCTCCTCCTCCTCCTCCTCCTCCTCCTCCTCCTCCTGCCCCTCCTCCTTCTCGTTCGTACTCCACATCCTCCTCCTCCTCCTCCTCCTCCTCCTCCTTGTCTTGCCAAGTGGGGCACACTGGAATCCAGCACGAACGTATAGAGAATCAAGGCATATCAGCCAGCGTTGACTCCAAATAGATAGTGGGTGATGATGGTGATGATGACGATGATGATGACGATGAGGACGATCCTCATTTCCACACGCGCACACTCCAGACCACTGCACTGTACCGTACAGTACTGGACCGTGCGGCCCAGCAGCTGCGTCAGGGGGCATAGGAATTAGGGGGTGCAAAGGAATTAGGGGGGGGGAACGGACCAATTGGTAGGGTTTGAGTTAGAAGCCCTATAGGGCAAGCCGATTGGAGAATACCTCAAACATTTTCCTTCACTGGAGCGTCCATGGGCGAACAAAACCACAGAACACATCCTCGACCCCCCCCTCCTTTCTCCTACTCTCCTTCTCTTCCGGCCCCTCTTCTGCGGGCCAGCTCTTCGGTCCAAATCTCTCGCTCTCGAGAAGGCCGTCCCTCTCCTTCGCTCACTGTCTGCCTCGATCCTCCATCCTCCTCCTCCTCCTCCTCCTCCTCTTCCTCCTCCTCCTCTTCCTCCTCCATCCTCCTCCTCATCCCCCTCATCCTCCATCTCCTTCTCCTCCTCCTCCTCCTCCTCCTCCTCCTCCTCCTCCTCCTCTTCCTCCTCATCCTCCCTCCCTCCTCCTTCTCTTCCTCCTCCTCCTCCTCCTCCTCCTATCCATCCCCTGCTCCTCGATCCTCCTCCTTCTCCTCCTCCTCCTCCTCCTCTCCTCCTCCTCTCCCTCCTCCTCCTCCTCCTCCTCCTCCTCCTCCTCCTCCTCTCCTCCTCCTCCTCCTCCTCTCCTCCATCCTCCTCCTCCTCAAATTCCTGCTCCTCCTTCTCCTCCTCATCCTCCATCCTCCTCTTCCTCCTCATTCTCCTCCTCCTTCTCCTTCCTCCTCCTCCTCCTCCTCCTCCTCCTCCTCCTCCTCCGCCTCATCCTCCATCCTCCATCCTCCATCCTCCATCCTCCATCCTCCATCCTCCATCCTCCCTCCTCCTCCTCCTCCTCCTCCTCCTCCTCCTCCTCCTCCTCCGACCCCGTTCCTCCATGCTCTCGAGCCATGTCTCCCGTGGGTCCGATCCTCGGCCCAGAGCTCGTCCGTCATCGCGCCGTCCTCCTCGCCCTTGATCTTGTACATGTAGCCGTATCCGTGGATCCACTCGCGCTGCTGCAGGTGAGTTGGCGGGGCGCGGGCCAGCCTTCTCCCCGCCCCGTCCCCGCGTCACCGTCCCCGTTTCCCCTCCTTCCTGGCCGGGCTTGCCTGTAGATGCAGGCGCCCTGGGCCGGGGTCCCTCCCGAGCCCCTCCCGTGAGCAGCGTATCGTATGCCTCCCGTGCATGCCCGCTCGCTTCCGGTGCATGTCCTCGCTTCCGGGCATGCCACGCGGCCAGCGCTGCTGCCAGAAAGCTCGCTCGAAGCGTGCCCGCTCGGAGGTTGCAGGGAGCCCCATCTCCTCCTCCTCCATTCCCCCTCCCTGCGCGCACGTTCGCGCGCCAAGCCAGAGGGGCCGGGAGGGGGGAGGCAATGGAGGGAGGAGGGGGAAGCAGAGGTAGGAGAGGGGGGGGCGCGCTGCTGGGCGCCTATAGACGTCGCTGTGCGACTACCTTTTTGAGCCAGGCTGGGCCGCCGCACGAGATCTCCACCGGGAGCTCCGCTCCAGCCGGAATCCGTGGGCGCCCCCGGGGGTGGGGGGTACAGTCGGGCTGCTGAAAGAAGGAACGCGAAATGAGGAACGAAGCCCCTTCTTGGCCCTGTAAGCGCCTCCGTGCCCCAGGAGGGCAAGAGGAACGGCACTGGAGGAACCTACGTAAGGAACATCGAGCCCCTTCCGAACCCAAACTGTTCCTTCTGTCAGCGTCTTGGCTGCACGGGGCCTTGGACCGTCACGGCCTCGGCGTCGAGCTGGACAGACGGCATCCGCGGGAGCGCGTCGCCTCTGCGCGTGCCGACCCCCCCCTCGGGCGCGCTCCCAGCCGTTGGCCGAGCGCCCCAGCGGAGGCACCGCAAGGAGGCGCGCAGCGTGCCGACCTTGCGCCAGCCACGCCGTCCTGCGCCGTGTCTGGGCACGCCGCGGGGGGCAGCAAAAGCGTGCGCACGCGGAGCTTCGCCGGGACGACCACTCCGAAGCGCATCTAGCACGCCTCCTCCTCCTCCTCCTCCTCCTCCTCCTCCGCCTCCGCCTCCGCCTCCTCCGCCTCCTCCTCCTCCTCCTCCGCCTCCTCCTCCTCCTCCTCCTCCTCCTCCTCCTCCTCGCATGCCTGATGCTAACTGGCTGCGCCGAAATGTACATGCTCACTAAACCCACCGCGCCGCCTCGCCTGCCCACCCGTCGGCGGTCCGCTGGCCCGCGCCACAAACCTTTCCTGCTGCGTGACGCGGGCAAGGTGGGGTGGGCGTGTACAGTGGGTTTTCTCTCCTGCGGAGAACAATTATCAGGGTTGGGAGAAAGGGGTCTGGGAGGATGAAGGGTATGAGCAATAGCATCCAGATGCAACGAACGATACCTTCGGCCGCCTACGAGTAATGGTAACCTCATTTCTCCCACACCCCATCCTCCAGGCCGAAAGCAACGATCATAGACTGTCCCGTGGCGGCGCGGGTGTCGTCCGCCGCAGAGTTTTCTGCGCCCTTGCCCGGGCTCATCAACCGAAAGTACGGAGCTCCGCTCCCTGGGCCGCGGCGTGGCCTTGCGTAGCGCAGGAAGCACGCAGAGGAGGAGAAGGAGGACGGGGAGGGGCATGAGGGAGACGGGGATGGGGCAGGAGGATGGGGGATGGAGTTGGGGAGACGTCAGGAAAGAAAAAGAGAGAGAGAGATGGGGGAGTAGGGGGTCAGGAGGAAGACGAGGACGAGGACGGGGATGGGGAAAGGGAGAATGCAGAAGGTAGACGAGAGTTGAAGAGGAGGAGGAGGAGGAGGAGGAGGAGGAGGAGGAAGAGGAGGAGGTTGAGAGGGGAAGAAGATAGACGGTCAGGAAAAGGCGAACGAGGGGGACAAGGAAAAGGCGGAGAAGGAGAATGATGAGGAGCGACCGTACCGAATGAGTCCGGACCTACGGCTCGACAGCGCGCTCAGCAACCATTGGCGGCCTTCGCTTCTGCCAGAATCGTGTAATGAAATGTGGGAGTAGTGGGAGCGCTCCCTCGTGCATCAGACTCTGCCTTCAGTTTGTGGT